CCACAGTTTACCAGTGATCTGAAAAATTCTCAGACCGTTGAATTGTAAGAAACAAACTTCGATTGTATTGAAGAGAAATAAAAGTAAATTGTTCAGTGGTAAATAAGTCATACATGGCAAGCATATGACACTTACTGATTTAACTGAGCAAATAGTTATCATTAGGAATTGAAAATATTTTGCACGTATTTATATAATCATGTTTAATTTAAGTGATATGTTAATTTAAGTTTCATCTCCTTTGTACTAAAACTAAAAAATACCTACAACTTAACCTTAATTATATCTTATGGTATATAAATTATACCTCAGATTTTGTAGGTCAGGCAGTACTGGAGTACTGATTCCTGAGCTACATTCCCAGCCTTATTTATTTAAGTCTTAGAAATTAACCCCAAAACTTCCATGCATCCTTTTTTAATTGTTCATAATTTTTATGAGTATATTTTGCACATAATTATTATACCCATTGTTGGTAGTTGGTACATGTTCATAACCCATCTCAGTTCTTTTTGCTTCCACTTGCCCTTCTCCTTCTGTCCTTCTCCCCTATGTGTCTATATCTTGATGCCCTTCCCATTTGCAAAACATGATCCTTTAAACTAACCTTCAACTAGTGCTGGTCAAAACCACTTGCCTCAGCCTTCCCAGGAGTTGGAATTGCAGCCATGTGCCACCATACGTAGCTCAATAAAATTACCTCTGTTTATTTCTTGTTGTTTAAATCAGAGGCTTGCTATGTAACCCTGGCTAGCCTAAAACTTGTACTGATTCTCCTACTTCAGCCTCCTGAGTGCTGGAATTACAGGCTTGCCATAAAGCAGTTTTTATATAATGCACTTAATGTTTCTTAACTGCCCTGAAATGGTGATATATGCTTTCTGGGAATCAAACTTCCAAGATTTAATATTTTCTCATTTTCTTCTGACAAGGACACACTCACTGAGGTGCTGTGTGATAGGGAGAAGAAAGACGTGAGGGAAATAAGCCAAAGAGATATTTAAGTACCCCCATCCAAAAAAAGGGATAATGGGATTTTTCAATTGCTTTTCAGTGTAGTAGCTAATAACACACCTACTATCCTAGTCCGTTTGTGTTTCTATAACAAACCACCACAGACTGACTAATTTTATAAAGAACATAAAATGATTTTCTTAATTTCTGGAGGCTGGAAGTCCAAGATCAGTGTGTCAGCATTTGTGTCTATGAGGCTGCTCTCTATGTTTTGTTCAATTTTGAGTAACTATGTTGTTGTATCTCGGAGGAAGGAATGCTATATCTTTACATAGCAGAAGAGACGGAAAGCCAAAAAGAATGAATTTTCTCTGAAGCCTTTTTTTTTTAAAGGGCATCAATCCTAGTCACATCACCAAAGGCCCATCTCCTACACTACCACAATGGGGTATAAGTTTCAACAGGCATTTTAGATAAGACAGTATTCAACTTGGGCAGGAATGTTGGATGTTGTGGTGGGCAGAGCACTAAAGTTCTGGATTCAGCATCTCAGCAGTTCACTTTCCTCTTTCGAGAAGTAAGGAGTTCAGGAGAGTGGGGTTGTTTAATGGCGGCCAGGCCAATAAGAAAAGGAGAAAGAGCCCAGAAATAAGCACACAGATCCAGATTTGACTCACTTGCCTGTGAAGGTTATTTAGCCTTGAAACATCTTCCGGTAAGGATGGCACAGTATGCATAAGGAAAATGGATATACAATTCTTAAATTTTTGAAGTAGCTTAAATAAGCCTATAGAAAACTCTACTTTAAATTGTTTATTTTGCCCTGCTATTTTAGAGCATAGAGTTAAAATGGGGGTAATGTATGCTGAGGAGTGACAGTTTCAAAAAGTATTTTTAATTTATATATAATTAAGAGAACAAATAGATTTACAGAAAGAAATGTCCACTACAATCACCTAGTAACACTATTGATTACTTTCTTTTTTGCAATTTTTGATAAAATGCCTTTCTTTTAACCAAAAGGCATGATGATTGCTCAGTCAAGTTTTTGGTTTACTCTTGACTGTGGTTAAAGCAAGTGTGATCATTGGACAATTACCTGCGGTTAGGTAGAACTGGACTTTCTAAGAAAACAGACACTTTAGTTGAAGTTTTGGTTCTTATTACTATGTTGAAGTTGAAAGTATCTAAATAGCTAAAAGGCAGCCTTGTTTTTATGTAGGTTATTTGGTTTTGGGAATTAAAGACAAGCTGTCTTGAGTGGATCACATTTTTTTTTTTTTTGCCATATTATCAGTTTTTCAGTTGCTTTTGAATATCATTAAAATTAAAAATTATAAAGTATATGCAGTGTCTTATATAGGAATAGTTTTGATTATGTTTTGAATTAATAAATCTGTTCTACCTTTGATTCAAGCAATTATCCTCTCTTCTGGATGATACCAAGTCCCAGAACTGTTAGTAGGACTAGTTCTAAAATGAACCCAAACATGCACTGATTGAAAGTGGTATTTGTTAAGGAAATATGCCTGAAATAAAAAATAAAGACCTGTTTTGTAAAGTACACCCACTCTGTCCTCTTCCTTGGGATGGAACTATAGTCTTTCCTGTGAGTGAATGCCTATGGGCTAGTCTTAAAGCTGTTTTCTTTGTGGTTTGTCTCCTGCCCACTGGGAAGCCCATGCTTCTTTCATTTTCATTCTTCTCCAACCCTAACGCTTTTGAACACAGAACCCCCATCCTCCCACCACCTAAACTCTGCATTCCAACCCTGTGATCTCATGGTACCAGGCATATCTCCCCTGCCATGCCGCCAGGCCGCCTGCTGTCTCTTGCAGGGGGAATAGACAGGAACATAAACTCACCCTAGAAGAGCAGGATGCTCTCTGTATATTTTTAAGGCTAGGAATCCAGCTCCCATTTAGAGTCTGTATTTTTTTAATAACTGCTTCAATATTGAACAAAACATTTTTTGTTGCTCCTATTTCATGATAATATCATTCCCTCTGCACTGATGTATAGAATCTCAGAAACTGGAGAAATGGAAAAGATGCATTAGGTCATGTCTAGCCCTTTCCCACTGGTCACAATTCTTTTTTCCCACAGTCTCTCCTCCTTCTAGTTTTCTCAAGAATTTGTTTCCTCCATTTCTCTTGGGGAATAATTTCTTAGGAAGAAATTTTGTAGAAATACTCATTTTTTTTTTTTCAACTTCATATGTCTCATCTTTATAACCCTTTACGTTACCATAAGCAGTCCCTCTTCTTTCTGAGTCAAGTATTTCTGGATGGAATTTTTTTCGCTTCCATTTACTAAGTTCAGAGTTTGTTTTTCTGCTCTGTTTTTTCTTTTCATCAGTCAACCCTAAAACCCATTAATCATTTTTACTGTACTGAAAATTCCTTTGCTTATTCCCATATCAGGAATCCAGAACTTGTTAGGATCCCTGGGTGCTGAAGGAAACCTCACTAATATGTGTACTCATTCTGTGCCCCCCTCATTCTCATCCCCCCCACATCCCCCTCCTTCCTTTCACCCCTCCCTCTATTCCTCCATCCTCTCTCTGTTTCCCCTCAATTCTCAATTGGAAAGTATTTTTAAAATAGTGTTTCTAAATTATGATTTGTTAGTTACTTGAAGACTTAGTGAAAGTGTGTGTGCATTTATGATTTTGAATGGTTAGATTATATTTGTTCTCAGGTACTTAAACGATATTTCTCATATCCTCAGAGCTGCAGATCTGTTGGGTCTCTTCTTGAGTGCTTGGATCAAGTACAATTCTAGACCATGGAACTGTGACGAAACATTCTATTTTAGAAGTGTTAGCGGACTAGGCAGGAAAACAAATGGCTATTTGTACATTTGGAGTTCCTAGGGACGGGGAAGGGGAAATTTTACATGATCTTGGCACTTACATATTTGATGTTGGTTATCTTTTGGGAACTAATGTTAGACATAAAGATAAAGCCTTAGTATGCTCTGTGGCTTCTGGGAAAGGAAGGCCCAAGGTGGTGGTTCTGAGGAAAGAATATGTAAGCCTCAGTGTAATTCCACTCAAGAAAACTTCAACAGATTTTTTTTTCCTTGACAAAATGACTCCAGAATGTATTGGAAAGTATGAAGGGCCAAGGATATATAAGATAATCTGGAAGAAAAGAAGAGAAGAAGATTCAATCTACTAGGCCCCAGGACTTATTTAAAAAGCAGTATGATTCTGCCATAGATTTAAACAAATAGACCAATGGGATAAAACTGAAAGAACAGATTCTTGCCAGATTTTTGATGCAGCAATTCTTTAGGACAGAGATGACATTCCAGAGTAATGATTTTCCAAAGATATTTAAATAAATGATATTAGAATGATGAAATGTCTATATTAGGTGTGTGGGTGGTAGGAATTGATTGCTTACCTCATACCATATGCAAAAGATGCTAAATGAATACAGACCAAAACATGAAAGATAAAACTTTACATGTCGACACATATACATGCTTTCTGTGTGTATAAGTGTGTATATATATATATATATATATATATATATACTTGTACATATCTTCATGACCGCTGGATAGTGAAACATTTCTTCTGTGACATAAAACTCTGTTTTCAAAAGTTACATATTTGACTGATAAAGTTAAGAACTTCACTTCATCAAAAGGTAACATAAAGAGAAGACAAGTTGCCAGAGCATGAGCGAACACATTTGTTATACATTTCTATGACAAAATATTAGTATCTATAATATATGCAAATTCTTAAATCAATAAATGACAATAATTTGTTATACATTTCTCTGACAAAATATTAGTATCTATAATATATGCAAATTCTTAAATCAATAAACAACAATACAATCTGAGGAAAAATCACCAAATAACTTGAATATGTTCTTCACAGAAGTACAGATATCCGGTAATCATAAGAATCGTTTGTTTGGGGCCGAGGATTTAGCTCACTGGCATAAGCGGCTACCTTGAAAGCACAAGGTTGTGAGTTCCATCCCCAGTAGCAAAAAAAAAAACCTGTTTGTTTTCCTTTTTTCCAGAAAGACAGCATGGAGCGAGTGTTTTCCGGTATTCAACCTACAGGAATCCTCCACCTGGGAAATTACCTGGGAGCCATTGAGAGCTGGGTGAAGTTACAGGATGAGTATGACACAGTGCTTTACAGTATTGTTGACCTCCACTCCCTCACTGTCCCTCAAGATCCGACCGTCCTTCAGCAGAGCATCCTAGACATGACTGCTGCTCTCCTTGCCTGTGGCATAAACCCAGAGAAAAGCATCCTCTTTCAGCAATCTCAGGTTAGCTTCTCAGATTACAACTGAGAACATTTTTGTTTTCACATTAGTTAAAGAAAAAATGGAATGATTCCAACAGCTCTTTTTCATGACCTTTACATTTGAGGATGATTTCACCAAATGTCATTATTTCACTTTAATCTCTTATCCATAACCATATCGTTAAGTATCTTCATATTTTATAGTTTTTTACTTTCCTTGTACTATTCTCCATAAATTTATAGTCCTTCATCTACCAAGAAGTTGTATCTCATCAAAATTTATAAACTTGAAACTATTTTTTCTATATTGAGTTGCACTTAATTTGATGACTTCCTGCTGTTGACTAATCTCCTTGATCAAGAATAGGATATAGTGATCAATTGTTTTACATAATTCTGGTGTTGCTTTATTGGGTATTTTTGTTTTGGTTTGGTTTTCTGCTCAAGAAATATTTACTACAAATGACTTTTCAAATTCAGTTTCAGAAAGCTCTAATTGTTTATGTGTTTGGAAGGCCTTTTGGATAATTCCCATTGTTCATTCATTGTATAATAGTTTTTTGAAAAGATTTGTTAAAATAAGCTGGGAAATTGGAAAACAAAGTCCCAGTGTCTTGTGGCCAAACCAAGAAAGGCTTCAAATCAGAACAAAGCAAAAATATTTGACTTATATCTTTGCTCTAGATGAATCAGTTCATTCTTGGACAGAATCAGTTCATTCTCTGGCCTAGATATAGGACAATGAAACATGATACAAATTCTAACTGGATCAAGCCCACATTACGTATTTACTTTAACCTGAAGCAAAAGAATTGCTTTCCTTACTCATAACCATCTACCATTATTTTAATGTATGTTTTATTACCCACAGAACTTAATGTAACAATTCATACAAAGCAAGTGATTAAAATCTATATTATAGGGTCAAGGTGTAGTTCAGTGGTAGACCGTTTGCCTGGGATGCACAATGCCTGGGGTTTGATTTCCAGACTGCAAAGTGTATACATGCACATATGCACACTACATGAGTTATTGTCAAAAATGAATGAAGTTATCAATTTGTTTGTTGCTAGCATGTAGATATTTTGATAAAATACTAGAATATAATCATTAAAAGGCCCATAGAGGTAATTCACTCCAAGTATTTTTGTTTTGGTTTGGGTTTTTTTGGTCAAGAAGTATTCGCTACACATGACTTTTAAAATTCAATTTCAGAAAGCTCTAATTGCTGTCAAGTTCTTGCTTATATTGGGCAAACATCTGCCTCTCCATGATTTCTACCCAGTCATTTAATTTCTGCTCTCTAAAACTAGACAACAAATTAACTTTTCTACACATCTGTTCTTCACATACTTGGAGACATTTGTTATATACTGTCCTTACCCTGTAAGTTTTATCTTCATGTTTGTTGTTTCCAATTCTGTCTGTCTCAGTCACCCTACTTTAGAAGCATTCTCACTTTCTCTCTGAAAGGAATCTATCTCTGATATTTCATGAAATAAAGTTTATTCAAACTCTTTGCATTCTCTCTGACATGGGAAGGTGCTCATCATCACAGTCATTTGAATCACCTAATGCATTTTGCAAGGCACATCATCTTTATTACATATAAGCAATCCCCAGTCACCCCTTGTCAGATGGCTTTTTAAGTAACTTGTAAATATTAACAGTTTATGTATAGTCACATTCAACAAATGTACTGTAAACTTACTTCTTCAGAAATAGTTACTATATTATAATATGAACAGTTATAGGTGTGTTTTCCTTTGTAATGAATCTTTGGTGGTGACCTCATAAGATCTAAAATTCTCAGTAATTGATGGTGTACTTCCATATGGAACACTGTTGTACAAAGCAGCAGTTGTGAAAGAGTAACTCACAGTGTAAAAGACTTTGTATAGGCCCTCTCATAAATGAGGTTTAAGAAAATTTACCTTCCATTTGAATGGTGCCAAGGAGCCTCACAAGCTCATTGATTCTAAGAAGGCTGAGGTTGTAGGTAGCAGAGCGCAGGGTGTGAATGTTGACTGGCATGTGCCTTTCTCCTCTGTGTAGGCCTGAGGCTGCCTCACAGTTACCTTCCTGCCATTCCTGACTTAGCTCTGTTATATGGAATTTTGAATAGTCCACCAACAAACTTGAGGGAAGTATTCACTTTGCATATATCTCATATGTTCCTTAAAGCCAATCTAAAAGGCTTCCTCAGTCTTTTGGACTACAAGTCATGCTTGATCGTGATCATTTCTTTCCTTTTTAATTGACAAATAAAACTTGTGCGTTTTTATAAATACAACATGATGTTGGTATATGTATACATTGTGGAGTGGCTAAATCAACCTCAAGAATACATAAATTACCTCAGGGTTTTGTAATGAAAATGTTGAAAATCTTTTTGATGTTGACTATATCCTGTTATGGTATACAAAAAGCTTCTCAAATTCATTCCTATGTTTGACTGCAATTTTATATCATATCATTTCACCAACACCTCTCCATTTCCCCTTCAAATGCCCCTAATAAGCCACCATTTTACTCCTTGTTTCTGTGAGTTCAATTTTTGTTAGATCCGACATGTGCTCTGTATGGCATTGATATTTCTGTGCCTCATTTTTTTAACATAATTTTCTCCAGGTTCATCCATGTTGTCACAAATCATAGGATTTCTTTCTTTTTAAAGACTGAATAGTATTCTATTTTGTGTGTATTTATTTATACCGCATTTTCTTTATCTATTCATCAGGTGATTAACATAGGCTGACTCCATATCTTGGCTAATATGAATGATACTGAAGAAATAATGAGAATACATACATCTCTTTGACATAGTTTTATATCCCTTGGATATATATCCAATAGTGGATTTATGTGGTATCTCTGTTTTTAATTTTCTTTGAAACCTCCATACCATTTTCTATGATGACTATACTAATTTATAGTCCCTAACAACAAAGAAGAGTTTGTCTTTTCCCATGTTTTCTTAACACTTATTATGTTTTAACTTTTTAATAATATTCGTTCAAACAGTGTGAAGTGGTCAGTCTGTGAATTTTCTAATTATGGAACAGAAAAGAAATTAATCAGCATTTTTAGATTTATAAAAAGTTTGATGTCACATTTATTAGAAAACTAATATTTTAAAATTATTTTTACCCAGTCCTTTGATACGTGTGACTTTTTTGTTAATCATCAGAACAGACACAGGAGTTAGATCTTACTATTATCTTTCTTTTACTCCTGATTAAATAAAGGTATAAAGAGGTGATTATGACTCCACCAGATCCACAATTAACCCAGGCCAGGCTTCTCTGGACTCTGGGTATGCTATATGATACTTCCCAGGCTGTGGAAGCTTGGATTTCACAAACGCTCTTTATCCCTGTAACTTATTAATTAGCTGTCTGGAGTTATATACCTTGAGCAATCCAGGACTCTTTGCTTTTCCCCAGATACATCACTTTTATAAGAAATACTTATGGGGTGGGAACCTTATTCTGCCCCATGCCTGCCAACCTGCCCAGTGCCTTTGCCTCAGGAGGTCCTGGCAGAGGGACAGTAGTGATCTCCAGCCAACTGCAAGGGGATCTTGCATTATTTCTTGCTTGGACAACTGAATTTCCCTTTACTCCTGTCTTACTGTTACAGAGTGGCAGTTCAGTCCCTAGGTGACAGTGATCTTTCTACCAGAAATGCATGCATACTTTGCTCCTGCCCTCACATAAAAAATGTAATCTCAGTTTATCTAGAAAGGCCTTCAGCAGTGAAATCTCAAAGAGCATTAGACTACCATTTCTTCCACTAAATCATGAAGCTATTTTTATCATCAGTTTATTTTGTATTCATATGATTGAATTCAACTTCTTTATCAGTAATTGTTTAAATGTTGAAGAATTTTTTCTGATTTATTTTGAGGAAATTTGATAAATTAATCACTTATCCACATTTTATAAAGTGTTTTTGTTAGTTACCTTATATTGAGGATTTTGTTGTACATTTAAACCTTTAATTGATCATCAAATATGTCACAAAGAGGATAGGAATTTGAAAAATTATTTTTCTTGAAATTTTGAAAGTAAATGCCAGTTAAATTAATTAGACCTGTACCCCCCACAGAATTATTTGTAAGTAAAATGAAGATTATTTGAAATTGTGTGTTAAAGAAAAATATTGTTTTATACTATTACTCTGGTTCTACAAGTTGGATGTTTTTTAGATTCCACATATGATCTCACTCTTCTAACTGTGTTCTCATTATTTTTACATTTATTACTCTTTTGTATTTCTAAAATTACATGAATTTTTACAGTGTATTTACTGCGAGAGTATAAAGACAATGTTCCCATATGCTGTTCTTGTGGATCAGAAGATGCCTGGTAATGACATGGAGTAGGGAAGGAATTCAGCTGTGGTATAATGCTGATTTTACCAGTAATGTGCATCTCCTAGCCTCTGTGTTCATTCTTAGCATTCTGACTGGAACAGTTTAAATGTATTGAAGATTTTTCTCATTTTTTTTTTTCTTTTTTTTTCCCACTGGCTTATAGTCATAGTGCTTCCCCTAAAGTATGTTTGCCATATGTGGGAAATTTTACAGACTCTGTTCTAAAAGTTTGTGTGTGTGTGTATGTGTGTGTGTGTGTGTGTGTGTGTGTACGTGCATCTGTGTGTGTGTTTGGCAGTGGTCTCTGTTTAAATGCCAAAGTCAATGGACTTTAATGTCCAGCAGGCCCGACTGCAGATATCTGAGTGCCACAGATATCTCTGAGGTACAGATCTTTGAATCCTTCATTGTTACTTTTCTTACAATCTAATCACCTTACAGATGGAAGATAAAAAGCTTTAGGCACTGATTTTTTGCTAAGGCCAGAAAAATGACAGTTTAGACCATTAGCCCTCATGTTACAGAAAGTCCAAATCAGTCCAGGGAGGAGAATGGGAACTGCAGTTTTGGAATGTGGCTTTGTTCTCTAGTTAGAGTTATGTTTTGTTTCCCAGGAAACTAAAATCAATAATAATGATAAATAA